GATCCCAAAGAAGCATTGGGAGCTCTGTCCCGGGTCTCATTTATGCATTCCACCTTCTTAGTGCGTGAAAATATGTATGGGATTTTTATAGCACGAGTGGATTGCCGCTTTGCCGTAATGATAGTGCTATTAATTGTCCCGCTATTTAGCTACTTTCCATAAAATACTGTAAGAGTATTTGAGGCCTGGCAAGGAATTAATTGAGATTTTTTTTTTTTTTTTTTTTCCTGTATGCATTAAGGTAATTTTTCTCTAACGAAGGAAGCAGAGCGTAAAATTCTGAAATGTACCCTTCAGAGGCTTGCTTTGTGTTTTGAGGGGGTATGACAGAAGCAATTTCTTGGCTTGAAGCCGTTTTGTATAAGGGACTTTATTCTTCCATGTGCATTTTGGCTGTCATGCAGATCCTTCTTAAAGCACCTCTGCAGGGGATTTAAGATTTTTTTTTTTTTTCTTAATTTTCTCAATTGCAGATTGCCAGTTGCGAGGTCAGCTCATGGCGCAACAGTGTATAGCGATAAGCTGTGGATCTTTGCAGGATATGATGGCAATGCACGGTAGGTGGTGGGAACACTCTCTCCTTGGGTGCTTTTGTAAAATCCCACTCCCTCACTTTTCACCCCTGTAGAGACATTTTCATATACCAAGCGATTTAAACACATAACTGGAGCTTTGCAAAGCCCAGGCTGTTGAGCATTACAGGTTTGCAGTTCAACAGTTCACGTTCAAATAGGTATGTGTTTAAAACCTAAAAATCTGGTGACTCAGAATGGCTGTGGATGTATAATTTGACAGCCTCCTTGGCTGTAAAGATGCTAAATGATCTTTGAAATTTGGCGAATGAGCATTTCTGAAAGGATACCCGCCACAGGCCTTCTGATGTCGCTGAAGACTTATAGAACAAAGGATGGATTTTCTCTGAAGTCGTACGACAGAACTAAGAGCAACATGTCAGCTTTTTCTCTGAAAATATGCGATACTCTTGGTGGGATACTGCACTGAAATACCAAGAGTATTTAGGTTGAAGGGAAGATGAGATTTTGGATGGGAAAAGACTGGAAATGAGTGGTACTGAGAAGTTAGGGAGAGTCTGGTGCCTTGTCCCAGCTGGCAGCTCTTCACGTTTGCTGTTAGTCTACCAGGGAAGAATCAATTCTGAACAGATAATTTTTCTCTGTCTTGATGAACTTGAAAAGTATTTTATGTTGATGCACAATATTTGCATTGTGAGAGCATACAGAGATTGTCACAAATGAGGAGCTGCCTCCTCTTCTGAGGAGAATCTGCAGAAAAGTTATCAGCTCCTCAGAGTCTCCAGGAGAACTGTTGCTAATTGGAAAAACAGACGGGATCTTTTCTTTATTTCTGGAGGAGGAATTGGAGAAGGATGCGTGACTCTGGAATTGCTCAGTTCCAGCTTAGGGAGCTCCCCAGGGACCTTGCATAGCTGGAAGGAGGGATTGGGTGAGAGGAGCTGTCTAATTTATGTTAAATATGTCTAATCATGTTAAAAAATGGCTTTTTGTGGAACATGAGCCTCCAGGCAGATTTGAACAAAGGAAGCATCTGTAGTTGTCTGTGAGTTACTCGTACTGGGAAAAGCATAGTGAGGTACGTAGTAGTCGGTGATGTGTCAGGTTACCCGCTTCGTCCTCCTTTATATATTTGAGGTAGGATTCACCAGATAAATAATTACTGTGGTCAGTGTCGGGGGTTAGCAGGATGGGCAGAAGGCAGGGTAATAAGGGGTATTTCTGTAAAAATCCTGAAGATTAAGTAGCTCAAATCCTTAAGCTCCAGACAGAGTTGCTGTGTGTAACTGTTAACTGTAGTATACTTGTAACCAGAAAGATGCTAAAGCACGCTTAGGTGGTGGTATAAAATTTAGGTGTAGGACAAAAAGATTATAGTAGGTTTTTTCTGTTAGCAGAAGTAGCAGATTCTTCCTGTGCAGGAGAAGGAATGCTGATAAAGTAGGATCTCTGTCCTTTCAACTCTGGGCTAAAAATTACCAAAAATAAACTGTTTCAAGTCAAGCATTCTTTGTGTTATCACCTAGGTTAAATGATATGTGGACAATTGGCCTGCAGGATAGAGAGCTAACATGCTGGGAAGAGGTAAGAAACTTTAATTTAGACCAACACAGAATTTTCTTTTTTGGTTTTCATACGCAATTACTTAAAATTTCCTGTGCTGGATTATACTGCTCTCTCTTCAGAATGTATTTGTCACGCAGCCGAAAAGAAACAGCTCAAATTTTATTTTGATTATGTATTTGGAAAACCAAGCGTATATGAAAGTGATTTTTTGCTTGTGAATCTGTGAACCAGACCTAGGCTGCCCATGGTGGCTTTGCTGTGCCCCCTATAAAAAGGGACTGCATTTCCCACCTTAACCACTGCCATAGACTGGGAGCTTTGCTGGCTGGCTATCAAGATCCGAGTCCTGATCCTTAGAGTATCAGGGGCTTTAGAAATGTGGCCTCTCATCCTTTTTATCCACGGCAAAATTAGTCTGTGCAGACATGTAAGCCCAGCATTAGTCGATTACCCATAGCCAGATTTATAGGGACTTGGTTGTCTGCAGACACTGCTGCCATGTGGTCTGTCTGTCTGCTGGTGTATTGCCTGGTCCTGCGGCACACGCGACACGTGTAGCGGTGCACTGCAATAATACGTTTTAAATTTTGAACTTTGTTGTCTTTCAGATTGAACAAAGTGGTGAAATTCCTCCTTCGTGCTGTAATTTTCCTGTGGCTGTTTGCAAAGACAAGATGTTTGTTTTCTCTGGCCAGAGCGGAGCAAAGATTACCAATAATCTCTTTCAGTTTGAATTCAAGGAAAAGATGTAAGTGTAGACAGTTAAGTCGTGCAAAATCTACATAGTCCTTGAATACTTCAGTTGAGAAATGCACATACTTAAGGGTATTGAGGAAGAATACTGCATCTCATGATGGGGAAGGGTAGATAAGATAAAATATGGGCTGTTTTAATAAGCCTTTGTCGTTTGCCATGTGCGTCAGATTGGTCTTTTTCAGCAGACGGAACAGAAAGTTTGGTAGATTCATTTTAAACAATAGGCACGAATGTTGGTGTATTCAGAATGGGATGCCAAATATTACCTTCCTAAAAGTTGTTGTATGAATACCTGATTAAATCCCGGCAGAGGTCCTGTGGAATACCGGTTCATAGTGAAATGGGTGGGAAATGTAGAACGCATAGTATCTTTTAAAATCTTGAGCATTCAGTTTGAGACATTTGGTCAACTTTACTCAAAGTGTTGACCATTGCTCTGAAAATGTGGCCCCTCTGATGGGGGAAAAATGCCCCAAAGTGGGAATACAGACACACTGGTCTGTTCTGGCAACCTGGTCTGTCTGGTTACGGGCTGAAGTGGAACCACAACTGACACAGCAGCTAACGGCCTCCAAACCTTGGCTGAAATCGTGCTTTCATAGGGAATAAGCGATGCCTTATCAAAATGGGATATGGTGTCAGAATGGTGCCCTTTACGTAGAAGGGTTAGCTGTTAAAATGTGTGATAATAGATCACCGGTTCCTTCCCAAGTTGTGGTCTTTGAACTGCTGGGGTTTACATAAATACATCTGGGTCATGGAACCATGTTGCCTTTATCACCTTTTCAGTTAGAAGTTGAGCAACACGGAGCTGACGTACGTCTCAGAAATCTGCAGGATTAGTCATTGTCTGTGCTCATGCAGATTCAATAACTACTGTAATAGAGCCCCTCTCCTTTATTCTTACAATCGGAGAGTTAGAAAACTTACTTTGCAGAAAAGAATTGTAAAAAAAATAAACTGTTTCATTTCCAATGTCTCAGTTGGACACGAATTCCTACTGAGCACTTACTTCGAGGCTCCCCTCCTCCTCCACAACGAAGATACGGCCACACAATGGTTGCGTTCGACCGGCATCTCTACGTGTTTGGTGGTGCTGCAGATAACACGCTGCCCAACGAGCTTCACTGCTACGACGTGGACTCTCAGACCTGGGAAGTTATCCAGCCCAGCCCAGACAGCGAGGTAAAACATTCAGCTCTTGGTTTTTCCTTTTATGCTCTGTCTTTGTTTGACCCATTTTTGCTGTCATGCTATGGACATGTTTTTGACAAAGACATTGACTTTTAGTTAAATAGTAACAGCTCCTTCCCACCAGTGGTTAAGCAGCTGAAGTATTGTGGTCAACGGTCTAAAAATTAGTCAGTGTTGATACATCTAAAACTTTGCTTAGTGCTGTTTAAAGAAATACCATAAAATACTTGTAATTCAAGTTTTGAGTCAGTCATTATCTGACGAAGATTAGGAATGAATTCACTGTGTGGACCGGTGGTTGTGTGGTTGGCTGTGTGATGCTCTTGAAGCAGAATTCAAAACGAGACAAGGTTTTTCTTGTTTCACTGTAACAATGCCTGTGTGCCTAAAATCTTATACATTCTGTAATTATGCAGAATAGCATTTCCCTTTTAGGTCACGTGTAAAGTGTTTGCTCATAAAGTTATGACTGTGAAATAATAATAGAGATCATAGGGAGGCTCAGAAATGGCTTTTTTGAACATATTTGCATTAATAAGATACATAAATTAAAAAATGTAGGTTCTTTACATGAACATAAAAAGGCAGCAGACCACCAAGGGCCCAGTAAACGCCCCAAACCTGAAAATATTGGAAGAAAAAGATGATGAACGCATTGATGTGTTCCTTTTGGGCTCCTCATTACAATGCAGCGATTGTGTGATAAAACGTCAAATTTTTTTCGTAGTGCACTGGTAGATACCATCTCTGGGGTAACCTGGTATTTCAAGTTGAAGTGCTGAGGGTTTGCATGGTTTCAGTACGCGTGCCCATTCACATTTCAGTACACGTGGTTTCAGTGGCCTCTGATCATTGCATTCCCAGAATGCGCAAAAAAGTAGGTTTCTTGAAGCCTGTACAAATACGTGTATTTCCTGGATTTAGAATGGTTATGTTGACTGTATTTGTTAATTTTAATAGATTTTACCTTAAGCCATGTTAAAATACTTCAGCTGATTTAATTCAGTTGATTCAGTAGGTTTAGAGTGTGTTAGCTGATCGGTGGGGAAGAAATACGTGATGTTTGAGTGCTGCATAGAGAACTTCCGAGATTCAGGTTATACCTTAAAGAGATGAATATTACATGAATTAGGATCAAATGCAGATTTACTAATTTCGCCAGAATTTGTATGACAGAAGTGCTCACATCTTTGACTGTTGCACTGTGGTTTAGTTTGTTTGCAAAGCCATACAACTCAGCATTTGATGAATAGGAAAATACCATTTACGCAGTGCTCTTAAATTAACAATGGATGTGGGGCCTCATTTTGAAAAATTATTTGACCAAAGTATTTCGTGGTAGCTTATTTTATGCTTTACAAAGCTGATTTATTTTTACATGACATTAATAAAACTGCATCTCCACCTTTTTAAAGATACAGTTGCCTTCAGGAATGTAGATCCCGTTCTGTTCCCACCAACGTTATCATTTGACACTTAAGGCGTCCTCAGTCATCGTTTCTTTGTGATACGATTGCGTATCACTTTCAGGAGCAAAAGTGCTCCTGACAGGGTTGTAAAACAGCATTATTACCTGACTTATCCCCTGCTAAATTTCACTTCATATTTTAGAGCCCTTTCCTTGGGCTGTCTGGAATCCCAGGCAGGTGTCTGTCTGTTATTGCATGTGTTGTATTTTGAAGTTTCTTCCACGGTTACGGCGTCTAGAGGCGAATTTTGTAGAAATGGGAAGTGAGATTGAAGCCCTGTTGAAACACGTGATAATAAATTTTCTTAAAAGACTGATTAACTGGCCTACCTGAGAGACTTCTGGTGTTTTAAGTAAGTTTTAAATGATTTTATGAGTTCTGGAGTGATAACTAGATGATTTCTCAGAATGGTTCTCCTGAAGTTTCTATGAGCTTTTGGCAAAGACTTGGAACAGTGGCAGTGAATCTCTAATACCATACTGTTCCCAGGACACTCTGAACTTGAAATTTCCTTTCTTATTCATATCTGTGAACAAAATTATTCACATTAAGTTGAAACAAAGTAGAAGATGATGAGTGCAATGCTGTCTCAGCCCTTGAAGAGTTCTGCCTGTGTGTGAAGTGATGGTGACCTCTGTTACCGTGCAGCAGAATAATCTATCTTGGCTTTGGATAGAGTTGGGTTTTTTTTAGTTTTTCTAATGGATGGATTGTATAGCATATGTTTGTCTTGTATTTTTCATAATACAGAAAAATGGTCTTAGAAATGCTGCATTACAACTTTGCTTGATAGCACTATAGCTAGCTTAACTTTCATACTTATCATCATGTGATGAATCTCCTTAATTCTTTCTTCTTTTGGACATTTAGCATTGAGTGGGCAAAGCCTCCAGAGTCCAAAATAAGAAGGCTTGGTGCTGATTTAGCTGTTAATTCAGTAGTGGTTTTTACAGTGCTTTGCAAAAGAGCTGAAGGAGAGTGACTGCTGCCATTCCAGTCTTTCTCGTTCTCTGAACTAAGACTAAACCAGCCCTGAGCAGCTTTTCAGAGTGATCCAGGTACTGATTTGGACTTTTCAGGCCTACGCATGCCAGTAATAGAAACAGGCCGTCGGGTGGAAATGGTATTCACCCCTGCTGCCCTGTTATGGGCAACATGGAAGGTGACAAGTCGCATGAGACCAAGGAATCTCGAGGTTTTTACCCAGAGAAGGTGGCACAATTTGAGCACTAATAACAGTGGTGCAGGGTGAGGTCCAGGGAGGTCGTAGAAGCAGTTACTGAGGACAGGCAGCCATCAAGTACCAGGTGCTGTGGGTGCACTGAGAGAGTCTTGCATTTTCTGCATTTGGGGTAAACGGGTAGAGCAAAAACTGGAACAAGTCTGGCGATGGACCTGTTCTAGTTCTCTGCTCACGTCGCTCGAAATTGTGCCTCGCTGTGGCATGGAGGATGGGAAAATGGCTTAATAAGTAGAAGAGGGGAAACTGAAGTGGAACAGGTCAGTACTTCAGAAATAAACCAGGAGCTCCTATTTTACGCTTTTAGGATGTCTCCAAAGTACAAATCAAGACATGCTTTCTGAACCGCACAGTTGCAATCCATAGCTCCTCGTACTTTCGTCTTGATGCTATAATACAGGTACATATATATTTTACGGAGCACACAGAGCTATTCCCCATCTTTACTGTTAGATGATCTTCACAGTTGAGGTTCTACTTTTCTGAGGCAGCTGGAGGAATATCACGTCTGCGTCCATGCCTGCCTGCATAACGCTGCCAAAGCTTCCTGAGGTGCTGGGTTTCCTTTGTACAGGGCTATCAGAAGATTTTAAAATAATTTGAATATATTTTCCTATTTCCTTATTGGCCTCGAGTTTTGCTATTGAACTCAAAATATCCTTGGCTTTCAGAAGAAGGCTGGAAGAGCATAAAAAAATCAGCAGGCAATAAGAGCGAAAAATGTTCCAGCTTGCACAGTTGCTTCCCAGCAGACAGACAGACAGACACACGCGTGCACGCAGCAGTCATGGTTTGTGCTACAGCAGAGGAGTGTATTGCAGGGAATGGTGGAGGAGCTCGAGGTCCGGGAAGGGTGCACATCCATTTGTGGACACAGCCACGCCGAATCAAAAGTGATGTCTGGAAGCAGCCACTGCCTCGTAGAGGACGGGGTGGTGTAGGGGAGGAGGAAAATTCCCCTTCCTTGCAATGTTTAAAGCAGGTCAGTGCGTGAGATAGTTAAAATGTCTGTGGATCGCTCCCCCGGTACCAGGTGAATTACCGTCGTCTCCCCAGTGACTGCAGGTACTAGCGAGCAGTCTGTCTTCCTGAAGTTACAGGAGAAATCTTTAAAACATGACCTGTGAAACATTTAGTCTCACAATTAGGCCTTTCGAAGCCAAGAGCAATAAAAATTTCTGACTTTCAAAGCTCTTAATTTTTCTTTTAATAAGCAAAAAGGGAGGTTAATGTGTTGGTAACCTTCTCTGGCTTACTTGGAGGCACGGTTCTGGAGTTCTTCAGATGGATTACCGTGACGTGGTTTGTGGGCAGCTAAGAAGGATTAAAAGGACTTACTCATCCTACCATGGAGGAGTCTGCCACAGTCTCCCTGTGCAGAGATCAGTTACACCCGTTGAGGTATCTTCAGGCAAAAGAAACATGTTATTATGTGAACAAAACCCTGAATTCCTGCAAGGGGGCCCCTAACAAGATCTGCCTTCAGATGTGGGGAGTGTAGTTGTCAGGGTATCATGTTCTGCTAGGAGAGATAAAATTCAGCATTTCACAGTCCAAAGAGAAGACTGATACTTTTTATGTTTATAAATAATATGTAGTGTTCAGACTTCCATCCTTTCTAGAAAATATTTTTTTTTAAATGTAGGATCTTCATACCAGTGACCTGTTCAAGCTTGTGCTCAGTAAGCTGGAGAGAGACACCTTGAAAATGTTAGTATTTATAAAAACCTGGTTATCAGAGTAACTGTAGTTAAGATTGTTGCACAGGTCGATTTCTGTTTGTCAAGTCTACATTCATATCCTTTCTGAGGGATGTCGTTTTTACGCTTTTACAGAATTCTCCCAGGGAAAGCAAAATGCAGGCATATGTGGACGATAGGCAGAAGGAATATATTTCTGTAGCTCACTTACCGGTAAGAAATTAGAACAACACAGTATTAACGTGACCCACATTAAATGGGTATAAAGTTGGATAACTGAAAGCCATGAAATACGGTTTTGAGTGAGAAGTACTTACTCTGCTTAGGTCCTTTAGAGACTGCTTCTTGTTGCATTGCTATAAACTTTTGCCGATGACCTTGAAAGAAAACAGAAAATCACAGCTTTCCCCTAATATTTATTGTCCAGAGTTTTGCCAATTAATGATTAAAATACCGCTGCACTGAGTGGTTTAGATTTCTTCTTAAGGTGGGCACAAACAATCCGTATTTCAGTGTGTATGTAAAGTAATCCATCTAGGAACAGGGTGTGTGGTCTATGTTAATAGTTTCCCTTACATTATCCCTGGAAACAATGACCTAAAACCTTTAGTCATTGTGTCTAGCTGAGGCAAGCTCCCTGTAATGTAAAAGGGTTGGAAGTGCTGATGATATTCTTGGCTCCCGAAGCTGACAGAGGGTCGTATCATTTAGTAACATAAACACATTACCCCTGTGTTTATCAGATAGATCTTCCAGTATAACATCTCACCATCTTGTGTTCACAAATGAAGGAGGTTATTCAGAGGAGAAATCTGAAAATGATTAAAGATTGGGAAACACAGTGACCGGCTGTGAAGCGTAGTCTCTTTTAGGGAAGGTTTAGGAAATGAATTCTTCACTGGCCTACTTGGGGAACAGAGGCTTTTTAGTCTATTGGTAAAAGATAAAGCAAGATGCAGTGGCTTAACATTGAAACTAGAAACGTTCAGGCTAAAAAAGAAAAGGAAATATAAGTTTACAAATTGTAAAGAATGAGGGTAATGATTCATTGGAACATTTTATCAGAGCTTTTTGTTAGATTATTCACTGCTACTAAACCAGAATTTGGTATTTTCTAAAAAGAAAGTTTTCCTAAAAGAAAGGTTTCATTTCAGTACTACTACAACGAAGTCTTGTAGGTTGTTTTATGCAGGAAGTCAGATTAAGATCCCAAAAGTACTATTATGGTAATTTGATTTTTGAATACACACCACGGTGCCAAAAAGAAGCAAATGGCTGGTCACTTGATTTTTGTCATCTGTTGTTAGATTTCAGTATATGATCCTTTGAGACACGTTCATTGGATTTGGCAATACTTGCTCTTTAAACTGTGCCTAATCCTCTCTGATAAGTTATACATTAACACTACTTTTTAAATTTGCAACTGATATATTAAAATTATTTTAAAGGAAAGAGAGTTTACTATTACTACAGTCATCTGTAAATAAGTTACAGATTGTCTTATATTCTGACTTTTGCAGTGATAACAGCACGTGCTTGAATGTCACTGTTAAAGAATTAACCTCCCTGTCTCCATGCTGTATTCTCCAGTGAATGTCAAATGGACAAAATCTCATCTTCAGTGTAGAGCAGAACATCCAGTGATGTCCACTGTCCCGTCCCCTATTACTTGCCGCAACCAGAACTGCAAAATCTCTGGAAGAGCCGATATCACAACAAGCTTACTCATATTTATGACTTTGCTTTTGTATCTAGTGATTTATCCTGTGCTGTGGGTTTTTTCATCACAGTCTTCAACTTTCTATCCTCCACCGCAGTCCATGACAACCCCTCTTCTGTATTAACTACTCTGTATGAGGAAGTGGTACTTACTGAGGTGATCCTCTGCTTTACACCTCTGGTAAACTATAATAGGTGAATTTATATTGGCAATGCAGTTACGATGATCTCAGTAATTGCAGACAATGTTTTCGACTTGTTAACAGTAGCGCAGTGTTGAAGATTTCATGAGAAGTCTTGAGAAGTCTCTACCGCTGGAAGTCTTTAAGAACAGGCTAGATGAACCTCTCTGAGGAATGCAATAGATACTGCTGATGCTGCTTGGGGCAGAGGAATGGAGATAGCCTCTAATGAGGTCCCTTCCAGGTATCTGTGACAGATTTTTAATTCCTTCTCTTCTTGCGTGGTACAATCAGGAAAATAAGGGGGAGGGAAAGGAACGGCTAAATTTCCATCTTAGACATAAATTAAATTTCCATCATAGCAGAAGCCAAGCTGGGCTTCCAGACCTGGAGTATGTTAAAGAATAGGAGGAAGTCCTGGAGTCACAAAAGCAGGTAGGTTGGAAAGGACCTCCAGAGGTCTCGAGTCTATCCTCGTGCTCAAAGCAGGTCTGGTTAGGGCAGGTTGCTCAGCGTCTTGTCCAGTCCGTTTCTGTGTATCTCGAAGGACAGAGATCCAACAGCCTCTCCTGGCTTCTCTTCCAGTGTTTGTCCACTATCGTGGTAAAGGCTATCTTCCCTTCATACCGAATAAAAATTTCCCGTGCTCTAACACGTGTCTGTTGCCTCCTGTCTTTCCACTGGGCACCTCTCAGAAGAGTGGCTCTGTCTTCTCTCCACTCCTCCTGTAGGTAGTTGCAGACAGTAAGACCGTTTCTTCTCTCATGCATCATGTGCTCCAGGCCCTGCTCATCTTGGTAGCCCTCCACTGGAATTGTTCCGGTAGGTCAATGCCTTTCTTGCACTGGCGAGCCCAAAATTGGCAGAGTACGTCACATGTGGTCTTACAAGTGCTGAACAGAGGAGGAAAAATCCCTTCCCTCCTCCTGCTGGCTACACACTTGCTGATACAGCTGAGGATGCTGTTGGCCTTACTGCGGGATAACAACGCTGACTCCTGTTCGGCTTTGTTGTCCACCAGGACTCCCAGGTTTTTATCTTAAGAGCTGCTTTCTAGACAGCCAGTCCCCAGCCTGTATCACTGCAAGGAATTACTCTGTCCTGGGGGCAGGACTTTGCATTTGCTGAGGCTGGACTTCATGAGGTGCCCATCAGCTCATTTTTCCAGCCTAGATAAATCCTTTTGAATAGCAGCCTCCAGCATTTCAATGGCTCCAGACAATTTGGCATCAGCCACGGACTTGCTCAGAATGCAGTGCCCTCCTCTAATGTGTGAAGCTGTTCAGCGTTTTGTAGGAGATGATCAGGTTAGTCAGGAAAAATTAACCCTTGGTAAACCCTTGCTGACTGTTCCCAGTCATCTCCTTCCTGTGGTGGAAGTAGCTTCCAGGAGGATTTGCTCCATAACCTTCTCGGGATGGAGGTGCGGTTGACTGGCCTATGGTTAGCTGGATGCTGCTCCTTAGAGGTGAAAGAAGCCTTTGCCCAGGCTGTGTTCCAGGTTCATATCATGCCAGATTTTTAAAAGTAAGAGGTACTTCATGCATTATAAACAGCACTGTGTTTACTCGCAGGTACCTGCAACCACAAGCTAGGCTAGATGAGTCCATTGCCGTAATCGGAAAGGAGTCACATCTAAGGAAAGGCATAATAAAGCCCTTCAGCATTTGCCTTCTCCTTCTTTGTTCGTTTACAGAGCTCTGTGTCTTGAAGTTCACTCTAAAATGGCTCTGTTCCAATTTTGTCTGAAAAGCATATAGATTTTCTGCACCCAGCATGTGAAAACATTTTAAATCCTTAAACCTCCTTGAACCTAACGAATATCCAAATCTCTGTCTGCCCATCTGTTTGGGAGTTTTATGCTGTTGCCTGGTATGATAATGTGGTAGCATCTCTTGAGTATAAACAGCTACAAGTAGTGACATCTCATTTGGACCTCTTCGAGCTTATGGTTTTCTTCCAGTTAGAGGAAAAACAGATATTTTCTTTAACCTTTTAGTTTATGTTGGTTCACCAGGTTTGTTTGTTGATGGCTTTAGGTCTTTTTATTTCATTTTGTCTTCAGAGTTTTTAACGGTATTGGAGGATAGAGAGGCTCATCAGTGTTCCTAGACTGTGGATGAGATCTGAGCGTATCTTCAGTGGCTTTGGAGTTCAGTGCAACGATCATACCTGCTCGTTCATATGTGAGGGTGAGGAGGGTTAAAATTGACACAATTCTAAATTTATTCTGTAAATAGAAGAAGGATTCTGAGAAGCTGAGAGAATGAGAAAGAAGAGCCTTGAAACAAGTGCAGTGGATTTGATTTTAGCTATTTCCTAATATTGAAATTTCAGTCTGAAAAAGCACTGCAAACACGTTAGAAATGCTTTGAGAAATGACGAAGAGATAAAAGATAAACACTGAAAACAGCACAAGTAGTCACAGCCTGCAATAATATATTCTAATATATAATATATATAAGGTTACTGTATTCTTCTCAGCCAGGAGAATGAATCTCACTACAAGAAAGTTATGTTTTTGTAACCGACCCAGCTCTCTTGACAGAGGCGCAGAAGGGTTGCATCTGGACCACGAGCAGGGCCAGTAACGCTGGGCCCTTGAGGAGCGCACGGCTCTCTGGTGGAGCGGCAGCGGCCGCGTTAGCTCTGTGCGCACTGCCTGTCATCGCGCCGAGGCGTAACCTGTCGGCCACAGAAAACATTTTACTTCCTCGTCTTTCAGATGTGTTTGTCAGCTTTGACGTAAAGTACAGGTTGTCTCTTTGTGGTGATCCATCTGCCCTGTTCTTTCATCAAGCCAAAATGTGGGAAGTCTGTCTCAGACTGTGGGAATAGCTGACGGATATTGCCTCTCTGCCATCTTTGTTCATGATCTGCATTCTCCTTACTTGCGGTAAACAAACGCTTCAGCTTCTCGTGAAGAACCATGGGAGGAAGAGGGCGGACAAAAGGCAATTAATGCTTAAGATTTTCATTGGGGTGTACCTCTGTCATTGCAAAAACCAAGAAAACTACACAACTAATTTGTTAAATTGTTCAGCCACGGTGCTGGGCCCCAAACAAGACCGTGGTGCTTTCTCTGGACTGCTTCTGAATGTGTTGGATACACGGGCTCGATCTTTTGGAGCGTCAGCCACAGGGGGACTCCTGCTTCGTGTCCAGTCTCTCCTGCCTCCCATCTATACTTTTACATGCTATTGTTTTTAAATCTTATAACCAGGTGTCCCACCCAGAAGTGGCTGAGAGAGTATCTGCCCCAGAAGAAGTGCCCTCCTTGCCCTCGGAAGAACGTGGTTTAAAAAAATCTCGGGATGTATTTGGTTTAGATTTCGGCATAACAACAGTTAAACAACCACCCACAGCAGACTCGGAGGTAAATAAAGAAACACTTGGAAGTGAAGACGACTTCAAAAATGCAAATTAAATTTATTCCAGGAGAGAGAAATAAATTCCAGCCTTGTATATACTTTTTCTCCTCCTCTCCTTTTTTCTCTCTTTGAAAGTTATCTTAAGCCATTTCAATTTAAACCATAATCTAAGAACTATTTAAGCCTTGACTCTGCACATGCGAGTTCTAAATTGCATATAGAAAACTAGTATTGAGCCCTGAGTGGAAACTATTCATTGGATTTAATTTTACTTTTACACTGATTCAACTTAATTTATTAAGGACTTCAAGTGAAGCTGAATGTATTCCTGGTGAGGTTAAAATTTAAATCAATGAGTTTATGTAGGGCTTTGCATGGGTTTAACTAAGTTTATTTTCAAGTATGTGGAGTCAGCCCCAGAGATGATGCTCGGGGCTGTAATCTCAACTATTTGAATGATTGCTAGGCGCCCTAGCACAGGGAGAATCAACACTAACGCACAGCTTTGTAAGTCAAATCAGAACCCTGATGAGCATCACAGGACAAACTCAATTTGTGCTGTCTAGACAGGATAAGGAGTGAATGTTGAGCACAAGAAATGAAGAAGAAAAAAAAAAAGGCTTCTGAAATACTTGAAAATGGTGGCTCGAATCATGCCGGCAGTGTGGAAGGGTGTACTGCAAGGGAAGCAAAGGTGACTGACGAGATCTGCTTTTGAAAGCAAAGATTCCAGCTTGAAAAGAGCCTCAGATTGCAAATCTCATTAACCTTAAATAGGGAAAACACTTCAACAGATGGAACAGGGCAGTGCATCTCGGAGAGGAGTGCCAGCCCAGATCATCAGAGGTGTCAGGGTTGACTCTCAAATTCTTTTTGTCAGGCACTGCTAATAGAGTAAGGAGATCACCTTGACTGGGAGGTAAGTATGGGCTCTAGAGCTGACAAATACATTCAGACTGGCCGTGCATCTTAGTCTGTGATTTTATCATTCTTGTACGCACTGGGAGTGAGAAGGTTGATAGCCCTTTGGGTTCACACGCAACCATCTGGAGTTGTGCCAGCAGAAACCCTTACTGAAATTACAGTTACTGCAAATCAGAAGTATAGTTTTGCACAGGTTATCTCACCTGCCGGACTCGAGTTATGTTTGCCCAGTGCTGGTTTTAGGTAGCAGTTGTTATTATACCAGGAGGACTTTACTGGTAGGTATACTGGTATGCCTTTATCGTTGAGCATACCTGATGCAGGCCTGGCTCTGTGGTGTAATGGCTGTTTATCGCTGTCATCCTGAGTGCAATTCTCACCTTGTTATCTGGGATATTTACGCTAAGGTACATCAGGGAAGGGTTGCCATCATCTGAAGAGAAGTGAAGGCATGGGAGGAAGCGTCTGGTGGGCAACAGGATCGGGAGAACTGTTGTTCTCCCCTTGTGAAAACAGCCCATCTCAGCTACCTCTACACAAACACAAGTGGCTTGGAGACAGGAGGAATTAAAAGGTCATGTACAGCTGCGGAGCTGTGACCCCGTTGGACATGGTGAGGTAGCCCACATGACCAGAAAGCCAGGCTGGGAAGGTGAAGAGAAGGGGTTGTGCTCCACGTGAAGGAGTGCCTGGAGCTTTGCCTTGGGATGGGTGGTGAGCCGGTTGGGAGCTAATGGGTAAGGATCAAGGGACAGACCAACACGGATGACACTGGAAAGATTTTAGCTTCAAGTGAAACAATAAGCAGCAGGAAGAGAGAGCTGACTTAGAGCAATTTACAACATGGCCAAGTCTAATGGAGTTTTGTGGGACTGCAAAGGGACGGTGGTCTTACTACTGGCAGGACTCTGGAACTTGAGGGGGTGAAACACCGGGAAAAAAGAGGGCAGGAGGACATCAGAAGAAAACTGTCCAAAGAAACCACTGACAGATTCATAGGATAAGGTGTGTGTTCATTACCTGGCAGCATTTAAGCAGAAATCTGCACTTCTCCATATCAGCTTCAGAGCGCTAGCAGCCAGACTTAGAACGCAGAAAGTACCAAAATAACCTTAGAATTTAAAGCAGCTGAAAGATATCCTGCAGACCGTGCACGTGCTGTTAGTCTACTCTAGTCTGTCTTTATGATCTCAGAAAATAATACAATTTCTTTGAGCCTCTTTGCCAACTGTAAAATGAGGCTGACCAACGCATTCCTGTGTCACAAGCAGGATGTGGCATAGTTGGTTAGACTGTGCTTCTAAAAGACAGAAATTAGGATAAATGTGTTATATTGCAAAACAAAGGCTTAGTTTCACGTTTGCCCCGTGCTGACTTTGTTCCTCTGAATGCAGGAGTTCCTACTGTAACCGTGGCTTGCAGTGTTGTGAGCAGGGAGTCGCAAGTGGTAGACCTGTTGTCTAAGGCAGTTCTAATAAACTGCAACGGGCAATAATCCTTCCCTTGTGCAGATGGATGGGGTACCAATATGCGGATCCTCGGGAGAGTTCATAGGAAAGGTGTAAGAGCAATCAGCAAGTATCACCCCATTGAAAAGCTGAAGGAGCTGGAGATGCGTAGTTTCTGGTGGGCAGGACGAGAGTTGATGTGATTAATGCTTAAATTGCAGCAAGGAAGATTCAGCCCAAGTACTAGGAACAGCTGGAACAGGAGGAAACATGGTGCACCTTTTTCTACCTGCACAACTATTTGTAGCAGAGTGCTTGTGTGTTGAAAATCAGGGTTTCTGTGCTCTCTTTCAGTCTCTTACTGGGGAACGTGATCCAGTGGCTGCAGTCCTGTAGTGCTCGACACTGGCCTTTCGGGTTTTAGACAGGTTTGCTCAACGACAGCGATTCAAATCAGATTTGACTGCGTGCACTAGTACACGGGAGATTATTTCATATCTGTTCCATATAAACTGTACCTGGGTTGAGCATATTCAGCAGCTGGATTTGGCATCTTGGGAGGTCTCCCAACAAAAAATTCAAGATTTGGCAGGGTTTGGCATCTGGCGTTGGTGGATGAGGAACATGGAGCCCAGCATCTCTCTCTGCCTGTTTATGCTCCTGAGCTCTATTAACCTTTTAATTTTTTTGCCCTGAATATTTTCTTCCTGAGGAGTGAGCTCCCTTGGTTCGCAGTGGGCCAGATTTTTTCTCTGGCCAAAGCCTTGGTCCTGGGAGGGCAGGGTGGTGGTCTCCTCGCAGGTGGCATCGGCATCTCACCGCCTGGCAGGGTTGCTGTCACCGTCTGAGGGTTTGTGCTGGCTTGAATTCTGCTGTTCTGGTTCAGCAAAACAAATACCCTGAAACCCTCAGCTGCACAATGTTTTGATGAACTGTATATGGCCTTCCTTTTTCTGGGCTATCCTGCCATATTTTACATTTCTTTACATGTATTTAAAAAGTAGGGTTGTGTGATTGCGTAAGTTACTAGTAAGTGGCAAAGCTCTGGTTCCTTGACCACTCTGGTACCAACGATTACGAATTAAAAATCATCGTTACAACATTCCTTACGGATCGTTTGAGATAAATACAGTGTGACTAGCAAGTAGGGTGTTACTTGGTTAAATATTCAGATGATTCACGTTTCCTTTCTGGCACCAATTGTGAAAATGCTGTAAGTTTTTTTGGTTGAAAAAAACCATGGTTTTTAAATACAATGGCTGCTTTTTAAAAGCAACTGCTAGAGAATATTGAGAATTATTTCCATTAAAAGCAAAGCTAAAGTATTATTTATTTAAAAAAAAAAAAAGGCAGGGAAAATGACCTGAATAAGTATAAGCCAGGTGGCCTGCATTTGATCTCTGGCAGAATAGTTCTTTTTTTGTTGTTTTTGGTTGGAGAGTCAGTTGTGAGAAAGATATTATAACACAGCTAATATCAGCTCATCTAGTAGTGTGGAAACAGGTCTTGGCAAGCCAACTTCGTATTTTGGGATGAGGTTGGCGGTCCAGTTGATAAAGGTCACTGATGTATTTTTAAACTACTATAATATGTTTGGTTTTTTCAGTCAGTACATCTTATTTAATTAATGAGATTACTACTAACAATGAATAGGGGCCATATAAAATAGATTATATTTGACAGTAATCTCATCCTCTTTTGGAAGGGTGTCAATCAGGGGCCCAGCAGGACTGATGTACTAATAGATCAATATTCTTCCATAATCTTCCCATCACAGTATTTATTAGCACCAAGTTTAAAGTTTCTTTGATAAAGTGCCCATAAAGTCTGCCGGAGACAGAAGGTATCTTGTTTATCCAGAGGAATCTGGATTGCTTGTTAAACTGGCGCAGATGAACATGCATTTTAAGGTGACCAAATCTGTGGTTTGGACATCTGAGAAAATAAAAAATCAGCCGGGTCCTAGTTACTGCAAACTACTGCTGTAGTTTGAAGAAAAGAAAAAGTCATGGAAAGTCTGGTGAGTAACAAGCTAAATAAGACCGTTGTGTGATGCTGTGGTAAAAGGGATAATTCGGTGGTAATGAAAAACGCCAGTCAGCATGGTTTCCTGGAAAATATGTCTCTCCAGATAAACATAATCTTGTTTCGTGTCTGAGTTTACTTGAGTGGTGTCTATGAATGTGTACGAGAAGAGAAGATTTCTTGTACCAGAGGGCTTTTTATTTTGTAGGCAAAGATTTAATGAGATTTGCTGCCTGGAAGACAAAACAAGCCTGATCAAACTAGAAAAAATTGAAGTTACTATCACCACTTGAAGACTTTATGTGAGAGATGTCAGCAAGATGTGCTAATGTGATCAGATACCTTTTGTGTAACCTCAGAAGAAATGGGTAAAAATGATGTGGTCTGTCCCGTGCAGGAGGGTCACTGCGGCTTTGACTTGCGGTGGCTCCTTCCTGCTTCGAAAATCATCTGATTTTCAAATTCCAAGGTGAAGCGTGTGTTGCATGGGACAGCGCGATCCCTCAGTCCTATAAATAGCTGGGGCTTCGTGCAGCGTGGGGTGGCTTTATTTTCTGTGGACCTGGCGTGACGGAGAAAAGAGACTTGACTCCGCGGTGCCAGCTCTGCAAATGTCTCCAACGTTGGGCTTCTGCGCAGAATCTGGCATGGCCGGGGGGGCTCCTTAGCCAGATGGTGCAGCCCCAGCGAGCTGTGGGGAAGGCACGCGTTTACAAGCCTGGGGTTCGGTGTCCTACTGGGATAGATGATCATTTCCCTTTCAGGTTCCTGACAATATTCAGAATAAGCTCTGAGTTTGTATAGTGATCGCATTTGCAGAATCTGTTTATTTCTAGAAGCGTGTTGTGGTTTTCTATGTAAAACTGAGCTTCGAGTCCGAGTTTGATACACGATAGACTTTGTAACTCTCATGATGTGTAGAGCCCTGTGTACGTACCGTTCTGATTAGAAGGTGCAATGAATAGGTGTTTTTAAATGTGACTGGCAAGTACGTTCTAGATACACTAGGAAACACTCCTAAAATGTGATAAATATCAGTCTTACGATGAGTTTGTGTTGCTTCAGACTACATTGATTTTTCCCTTCTCACTGTTGATCTGTTGCAGGCCCGTTTTCTTGGGAGAAAAAAAAAAAAAAGATGGTTTTATTTATTCCCT